GAGAGAGAGAGAGATGGTAGAAATTACAAGAATGTTTTTTGCGCTTACATGTCTTACGCTCCGCGTAAACAGAGTTGCTCTAGAGACCTTTCAGAAGCCAGTTACCATATACCACAGGTAACACACAATGTGTTATTTTTCCTGCTTTTCACGTTGTAAAAATTCTCCATATTTCATATTTTTTCAATATTCATTTGTTCATCATATTTTTAAATGCAATATTTAATTAAACATTATTAATTAACAAATATTAAATCTAAATTTATATAATTTCGCAATTCTAAAATATTTAAAATTAAATTTATTTTAAAAAAAATTTAGATATATTAATTAAAAAATAATTCTAATTTTATTTATTAATATTTCATAATTTAATTATTTTTCTTTTGAATAAAAAAATTAAAAAACAAAAAATTGCGATTTTTATATATTAAAAAATAAAGAAGTTAAATATTTTTATATATCAATTTTTAGAATTGAGAATATTTAAAGTTTATTAGAATATTTATTGTTATAAAAAAATATTTCATTATAGATTTATTATCATGAGATATGTATAACATGAAAAGCTTTCTCAAAAATCTACTAAATTATTTTATTTCAATTTTTTAATATATCATTAGATTTTTACGATGCATTGAAAAATTTCTGATAAATTAACTGGCTCTGATATCTAAATACTTTATCAATAGATTAAAAAAAGAGATTTAATATTACAATTTTTATTATTAATTTATGATTATTTTTGTAAGCATTCTAATAGTAATAGTAATTCAACTTACTAATTCATCTCGTTATTAATTTATTTATTTTTAAAATATAAAGAAATTTTTAATTTAATTATAATAGATTGAAATAGAATCTTCGTTTGTCTCCATTCGACAATTTCATGGTGGTCCACCTGGTCCGCCTGGTCAAGGACCTCCACGTGGTCCACCTGGACATCCTGGTGGACCTCCAGGTGATCCAAGAGGTGCTAAACCACGTCCCGAATGGAATAGACCACCAGGTTTGTTAAATATCACGATTCATCATAATTTATATACGAAACATCTTGGACTTTCATGCTCTATTTTTCCCTTCATTTTATATGTTATTATGGTAAAATCCTTCTTTTTTCACAGCTTATAGTTTGCATGATAAAGTAGATATACAAAAATTATCAAAATTAAAATACGAAATAAGACATAAAGAACTTTAGATCATTTTAAATAATGAAGCATCATGTAATAAAATTATTGTAAAAGAAGTTCACTGATGTCATTGTTCAATGTGCATAGGAATGCATCATGGGCCTCAGGGACCACCAGGTTTCCCTCAACATCAACATATGCAAGGCCCTCAACCTGGTCAAGGCCCACCACAGAGAGGACCTCCTCCAGGTTCTATGGGTGGTGAGAAATTTAGGATGTTCATTGAATATTAACAATATTGCTATTATTAATTTTTTATTACAATAATGCATGATATTGAGGGAAATTTTATGCTTAGGAGTATGAAGGTACAAGGTGTTTCACAAAAAATAACAGAAAAATAATTCTTTTTATATTATTAAGTTATTGATAAGATAGATTGTTTTATAATATTGTTTTATATATATATATATTTATAATATATATATGTATAAAGAAATTGATTATTTATAAAATGATATAGAAGAAATGAATCAAAAATATTTAAAAATAAAAATTGAACATTATATATTTTTTAAAATTTATTGTTTTGTGTATCTTTCGAGAAAAATTTATTATTTATTAATTTATTTATTAAAAAGAATTACAAGTTCTTAGTAAAAATATTTTGATACTTTATTATAATTGCATTGTGCAAACATATCCTAAAGCAAGAAACAATTTATCAATTCAATTGTAATTACTTTGCCTAATTCAAAATTTTTATAAGCTTGCTATATACATTGTTGCAAGCTAACATAGATATTGATCAGGAATGTTACCAGGTCCAGGAGGACCACCACCTGGTCATGGAGGTCCACCTCAAGGACCACCACAAGGACCTCCAGGAGGACCTGCACCACATGTGAATCCAGCATTTTTCCCACAAGGACCACCTCATCAACATCCAGGGCAACATCCACCAGGCCCTCCTGGTCCACCTCATGGTCCACCTCATGGTCCGCCACATGGTCCACCTCATGGTCCACCACATGGTCCACCTCATGGTCAACCACATGGTCCACCCCATGTGCCTCCTCATGGTTATGGACCACCTGCAGCACAGGTATATTCTATTTCATTTTGTTTTCATATTAATATATTATAAATATTTTATATTATATTTTAAATTTTTTATTAAATGATTATTAAATGATTATTAATTATATTTGCTATAAATGATGATTATTCAAAACGCTTTAATTTTTTTTAACATTCTTTGACTATTTTTAATAAATATAATTATGTATAAGTTTTATAAAAAATTATATATTATTTTCAATAATAGAATTTAAATGAATTAATAATAATATCCAAAATTCTTTTAGATTAGAATCTCTTTTGGAATTAAATTATTTTAATTTTGATAAAACATTTTAATAAAATATATTTTGCATTTTAATAAAAATATTTTAATAGTAAAATAAAGATATAATAACATAAGATTTTTTAAGAATAATTATTTTTAATTAAAATCTTAACTAACTTAACTTAAAATAAATTCCAGGATAGAAACAAACAAAATTTATAAAAAATTATTCTATTTTTATTAATTTAAATTATTAAAATATAAAAATTTTTTAAATAAATAAAAGAAAAGTAATAATAAAAAAAATAAAAAGAATATCTGATTTAAAAATATTATATATAATTTTATCTTTTTTAGAATACATTTTATTTTTATACTTATAAAGATAAATATTTATTAAAAGAAAACATATATTTTATAGCCACCTTATGGCGCACCAGGACCTGATCATCGTCCAGAAGGTCCTCCTCCTCTCACAGAACAAGAATTTGAAGAAATTATGGGTAGAAATAGAACTGTTTCTTCTTCTGCAATTGCTCGAGCAGTATCTGATGCTGCAGCAGGAGAATATGCAAGCGCTATAGAGACCTTAGTTACAGCTATTCTTAATAAAACAATCCAAAGTTGCTGCAGATGATAGATGTAAAATATTGATAAGTTCTCTTCAAGATACTTTACGTGGTGTCGAGACCAAGAGTTATGGATCCGCACGTAGGGGTAAATTTCTTAAATTAATTTCATAATTTTTATGTCAATTACTTTTCATTTAAACATCATACAAAAGTTTGTTTTTCATATTTTTTTTAATTTATTTTTTATTTATATATTAATATTTTAATGTTAATATTTTACATAGTTTTTTTTACTTTATTTATATGGTATAAAATTAAATAATAATATAATTCCTTTTTTCAATATTTTCTCAATATATTCACTCTATTGATTTTATTTTTTTTCTTTTTATTATCACTATTAAAATTATATTTAAAATTTAATTCAATATAAAATTTTTGTGTTTTAATATTAATATTAATGCTAAATAAACATAATAAGTTTTGCTTTAGACTTAAAGATTTTATTACTTAAAAATTTAATAATTCTATCTTTTATTTGTGAATTAATATTTAATTAATTATCTTTTATTTATATTAATATTTAATTAATTATTTCAGAACGATCACGTTCACGTGATAGAGAACGCAGTCACAGAAGAAGACGTGAGAGATCAAGGAGCCGTGACAGAGAATACAGAGAAAGAAGCAGGGATAGAGATAGAGAACGTGATAGAGAACGTGATCGTGAAAGAGAAAGAGATCGTGATCGTGACAGAGAACGTTATTACAGTGAACCATATCCACGGGAGAGATCACGAAGCAGAGAGAGAGATCGTGAACGTGAAAGAGATCGCGAATATAGAGAACGAAGCAGAGAAGAAAGGTAAGCTTAAAATTTTACATAATTATTTTAATGTCACATTGGATGTATCATTTTATTTTAATTGGATCAAAAATAATAGTCACGTATGTGTGTGATTTAGAAAAAAGAAACAAATACAATAAGTTTATATAAAATATACGACATTTATATTGTAACGAGCCGCATATACTAAAGTACATTATGTATCTTGAAAGCTATTTAGATACAAGAAATTTTTTTCTTCATTATATCAACGATATTATCATAAATAAGATAAGTTCCATAGATTGTATTATATATTTTTTAAATATTTCGAATCATGCTATAAAGAATATTGCAGAATTCATTCAAAATATTTGAATACTTATTTAAAGTGATAATAAATCGTGCTAAGTTTGATAAAGATGTAGCTAAATTAAATAATAAATACAATATACTCTATGTATAATATCAATAATAAGTTTTAAAAGAAAACAAATGATTTATAGTGTGTTCATTTGTAAAATATTTAATAATAATATATATCTACTTAGAAAATGAAATATTAAGATGGAACAAACTATTATTAAATAATAAAAATTATTTGTAATATTTTCTTATGTTTTCACATTGTCTGTATTAATTAATTATTTTAAAAAAATTCATGCAGACAAGAACTATAGATCATTTTTATATGATCTATGTAATAGTTTTATTTATAAGATTTATAATTTACAATATAGTATATATAAAATTTTATTAATCTTACGAAACTTTATTAAAATAATATAAAATGATATTAATCCTTTTGCTGTAATGTATTTTTTATACTCTAGACTATTTTAATTATTTAGAGAAAATTTTTATTAACTATTATATGGAATAATTTAGATTGAATTAATAATTGAAAAAATATTAATTTTAATAAAATAAAATAAAAATAATTAACCATATAATCAATAGCAATAGGATTAAAATGAACATTTGTTATGTTAATTGTTATTAGACATGGAATAAGTATATTTAAATAATATTTTTATATTTTTAACGATTTTTAATAATTATTTCAAAAAGATATCAATTTTTTTTTCTGCTATATTAATATTAATATTTAAATTTAAATTATAATATTTAAATAAAAATTAAAAATGCTTAATTTTATATTTTATGAATTGTAAAAATATTAATTATGTCAAAGAATATGTTTATCAAAATTTTAAACATTTATAAAATATAAAAAATAACAATTAACATATCAAATAAATAAATATGTTTTTACTATTGTAAGTATCAAATTGTTTGATAATGTCTACTTTTTATTATTTTATATAAAAAATAAAATCTCAATAAAAATAATCAAAAATTATGAATTAGAATAATTATTATATTGATACTTTGCAATATAAAAAGTAGATATTATTTATAAAAAAATCAAACATTTTATGTTCTGCATAGTTATTCAATATATAATTTCAACACATGTAAAAGTGATAGGCAAATTATAAATATTTTACTTTAAAGGGTTATTATAATTCCTATGTTAACTTTAATTTTCTGTGTATAATAATAAGAATATAATCATATTTACACATTAATAAATCAATTCTTTACAAAGATATATAATGTATTATTTTTACAATTTTCAATTTTAAAAACATATAAAATAAGATTTAATATTAAGTATTAATATATATATATATTTTTTTTAAATACAAATTTAAGAATTAATTTAGTTTTTTTAACTTTTTATAACATAAAAAGATAATTTTTACAATCAATAAATCATTTTATCGAAATTAGTTTTTAATATTATAGTATGAAAATGAAAACAAATTAAAAAATATAATATAGTATATAAAAAATCAATAATTAAATGCAATTATTCAATCATTAGATAGAATATTAATTGTATATTTATAAAATTTAAAAATTACTCAGTAAATATTGGTTAACATAGGAAAACATTTATTATGTATTAATTACTATAAAATAAAACAGTAGAGAATGATATGGAATAGATATTTTTATATTCATTTTAAAGTAATAGTCATTTTTAATAATCATTTTTTTATACTGAATACTATATATCAATTATTGATAAATTATGTTATAATCAGTAATCGTTACTGATTTTCATTAATTATTTTAAAAATTAACAAATCTTTCTTTTTATAGTATTCAGAAATTAAAAATATTGTGATTTCAATTTTTAAAAAATATGATGTTTTAGAAATATTTATAATAAATATTGTAAAATCATGCATTTGGAATGATTGATGATCATACTGAATTAATCAAATTTTGTAAATTGATTCATTCATTTATTATTTTTGAAATATTTAGTATAAATGATACTGAAATTTCAGAATTAGATGGCCAATAATAAAAAATGAATGATAGTTCATAATTTTAATAATTATGAATTTATAGATTAAAATTAATTTCTGTATGTTTGTTAAATACAATAGATGATGGCCAAATTGTGACTTTTCTAAATATTTACTCTCTCATACTTATATACATATGACTTATTATAACTTCTTTTTATAAAGTTTGATTTAAAAAGCGCCAAGAAAATTATGTCGTAATCCACGTGCATTTATATAAGAGAAAAATAAGTATATTTATTTATATTAAATCTATTTTCTGAAAAAGATATACGCATGCGCAATTTATAATACCGTTCCAATTGAGTATATACGATATATATGTTTATATCGTGATAAGGTTTAGTTATAACTGGATTAAAATATATTTCAAAATATTTTAGCATCTAAATTTTAATTTCAATATTTTAAATTCAAAGGGAGGAATAAGCTCTGATACTATAATATTGGTTTATTCGGTATCAATATCTTAATAATTATTTTTATCACAACATAATAGAAATATGTATGCAAGTATACTTTTTATAAAATATTATTTAATACACAAATTTATAAAATAATTTAAATCATATTAATTTTCAATAAAAAGTTAAAGATTGCAAGAAGTTACATAATAACTTTTTAAATATATATAATTGAAAAATTTTGAATATAAACGAATTTAATTTTTTCCTTAAAGCAAGGTATAGTTACATACGATATTTCTCTTTTATTTCTATTGTATATTTGTAATTTTTATTTCTAAGATTATCGCTAGAAAGAGTATGTAAAAAAAAAACATGCATATATTGTAGATATTGCTTTCTATTCAAAACATATTTCATTATGTTTCATATGACATTTCAAATGAAATATTTGTAATTATTTAATTTATGAATTATATCTATTTTTAATTTTAAATATTAAAATTTTATATATTTTTAAATATTTTAATCATATTTTTGGATAGAAATTTAATTTTTAGATTATTGGAGTTGATAATAATAAAAAAAATACAAATATCATAGTTATTAATATTACAATCTATTAGATTAATAGTTCATAAGTTAAATAATTAATTTTCACTGATAATTATTTTATGATAATTATAATTATCCTATTATAATGTACAAATATTTAATTTAAAATGTACTTTTAAATGCTTCTTCAATTCATATAATATGCATATTAATACAAGATCTGTATATTTATCCAAAAAAAAGTTTGTAATACCAATTTCAATATCAAAAAGATATATATGTAAAATGTAAAATTATTTATCTATAAAATAGTCGTAATCCTGAAACCATGCAAATATGGAATTGATGAAGCAAAATAAATTTATATTCTTTAATGAAAATTATATTCTATCAAATTTAGTCGCTTTTGAGTTGATTTAAATATTCCGATATGGTTGCAGGTTTAACGACGAATCTTCAAATTTTTTTGAATATGTTTGAATATTATACATGCACTTACATGTATTTGGTAACTATAATTAATAGTACTTAGAATAGCATTATCGTATTTTTTAATCTAATCTATATTTTCAATAGAAAAATGTTAGAGAAAAAAATTCTATCCTTTACATAAGCATTAAGTTACAGAGTAAGTTCATATAAATTTTGCTTAAATTTTAAAGTGAAAAATCATTAATGAATTATATTTCGATAAAAACAAATTAAATTTTCTTATATAACGTAGTTTGTTTTAACTAAAGCAACGTGCTAAGCCTGGTAACAATATAAGTCATAACAAAGTATGCATATTTTCCATTAGTACGACACGTCAGTCAGCCAGGCCAAGAGTAAAAGAAGAACCGCCAGAGACGGCTCCCGTCTCGTCTTCCAAGGCGTCTAGGTAATTTATACTTTTTTTTCATATAACATGAATGCATGTAGACTTTTTTATTGATTTCTATTTTCTTAGATGCGACAATAGATTTTAGAATTTCTAATAATTATAATAATATAGTATATTAACGATATAATAATTTTATATTTTTTCTATCAAATTATAATTATTTTTAATAAGAAAAAATTATAAAAATATAATATGAAGAAAGAAAAAAAGGATAAATAGATCTTTTAATTCAATTTTGTTTTGACATGTATACAATAAGGAAAATTATTAAAAGTTATAGTTTCATATTAGGAAATTGTTTATTGTAAATAGAAAAATAAGATAATTCATACAATTTTCCTTTATTAAATTTCTTCTCATTATTAAAGTTTTTATTTAAAGTAATTTATCTAGTTCATAAAATAATCGAAGATATTAATATAGAATTATATATATATCTATTTTATAGTAGAATAATTTTTTTGAAAATTTGATTATATTTTTATCTTTTTAAATTTCTACTTTAATGAGTAGAAAATTAATTGTAAAAATAAAAATTGAAATATGAACAAAATGTAAAAATAATTATAAATATCTTAATAATGAGAAAGAATGGATTGGAAAAGAATATATAATTTAATTAAAAATTTACAAATGAATGAAAATATATTTTTAAAAAAAGAACAAAAAAAATTTTTAAATTTAATAAAAATTAATAGTATCGGTAAAGTAAGATAATTGGCTGACGTGTACTTGTGTAGGTATTATGACGATCGCTACAGAGAGCGTGAACGAGACAGAGATCGAGAACGAGAATCGAGCCGGAGACCATCAGAGAGAGAACGAGAACCGGAACGTGAACGAGAACGAGAACGAGAAAGAGATCGTCGCGACGAACGTGGAGATTCTTCGCATCGTTCGAGGCATTAAAAGTGATTGCACGCTAAAGAAAAAGGAATTTTCTTAAAAATCAAATATAATAGAGGATACAGTGAGAGTAAAAAACGAGAAAGGGAAGAAAATGATGAAGATGGTTGTGTTCTAGTAAGCAAAGTTCGTGGGATCTCATCGTTGATTTTCTTACAAGTTTCATCGAAAAATAGACACAAGAGGATATATATATATATATATATATATATATATATA